AAAAAAAAAAAAAAAAAAAGACTGGCCAGCTAATGTCTTCTGCCTTCCTTAAGGACAGAAAATGAAAGAAGTAGCAGGAATTAGAGCAAGAGGCATGTAGGTTACACCCAGACAGAACTTTGTGAATATAAACTACTACTGATATTTATTTATTTTACTTTTCTTTATTCTTGAAGTTTTTTTAGAGACAGGTTCTTGCTCTGTCGCTCAGGCTAGAATGCAGTGGCATGATCATAACTCAACTATAACCTCAAACTCCTGGGCACAAGTGATCCTCCTGCCTCAGCCTCCTGAGTAGCTGGGACTACAGGCATTAGATATCTTATTGTTACAATTTCTAATGTAGTTCTGTTTGAGTAAAGGAACATAATCTGTAAGACTTCAACTTTTGAGATGTATTGAGACATATTTTATGGCCCAGCAGATGGCCTGTCTTGGTAAATGATTCACATGCACTTGAATATGTACTCTGAAGTTCTCAAGTGTGGTTTTCTATCAATGTCAATTAAATCAAGAAGGTTGACAGTCTTGTCCAAGCCTTCTGGCCTTCCATATCCTTATTGATTTTTTTGTCTACCAGTTCTATTTATTATTGGGAGAGGGTATTAAAATCCCCAACTATCCACGTATTATGATTCCATTTAGATAGAATGTCCCAGATATGCAAATATATAAAGACAGAAATTAGTCTACAGATCTAGGAAAGTTTGATTTTTCAGTTTTTGTTTTTGCTGTTATGACTCCTGTAACTTGTCTAAGTGCACCCTTAACCTATCTTAGCCGACTTAGACTTAAAGTTATACCAATACTAGAACATTTTACACTTCCCGCTTGACACCCCATTTCCTACTTCACACCTGACACGTCAATTACCAGACTGTATTATTGTTTTGCTTTAGGTAGTCAGTTGTCTTGCAAGGAAATTATGACAAGGGAAAACGTATTTTATGTTTACGCATTTCCAAGCTTTGTTACAGTAGGTCTTACTCTACTTCATGGTCCTTCCCCCTGAAACACAGGCTCACGGGTGTTTCCGATGGATGCCTAGGTCTTATAGAGGTTTTTGGGTTTTTTTTTCATTTTGGCTGGTCCAGACTATCAACATCTTCTAGAACTTCTCAACCTTAGAGTCTTTTTTCTGTTCCTAATCACATAGGAGCTGTTCTCTGATAAGCCTTGCATAGATAATCTCATCATATATGAGCTGGCATAGACCTCAATGAACCCCATACAGACTTAGGGGAACCCCCTTTGGTGCAGCTCTCTCTTCTGTGATACTCGCTCCACAAATTCCAGCTACTTCAATGGCCCTGAACTCTGACCTTTGCCACTGGTCAGCAGGACTGCTGTGCTCAGTGTGGGGTCTAGCTCCCTGCATTGCAGTTAGGGAATTGTCCTTGAGCAAAGAGCTGGGGTAATCATGGGGTCATGTTGTGGGCTTTCCTTCTGTGTATAGTTGTATTTCCCTAAATGACCACAGTGATATCGCTCTTTACTGTGCTCTTCCTACAAAGTGACTTCAGCATTCCTCCCACCAATTGTGGGGTCTGTAGTCCCACCCCTTGAACCTGGGTTGGAGCTTGTGACTGACTGTTCTAGCCAATGGAGTGTGATGCTATGGAACTCCCAAGACTATTTAAGTAATAAAAAGGATCTCTCCTTCTCTCTTTCAGAACACTTATACCTGGGACTTAGTTACTACATTGTAAGAAGTCCCACGCAGAGGGGCCATAAGGATAGGCCCACATGGAGAACTGAGGCCCCCAGTTGACAGCCAGTTATCAACTGCCAGATATGTGAGTAAATAGGCTTCAGATGATTCCAGCCCCAGACACCACAGAATAAAGACAAGTTACCCTGATGCGTCCAATTTGAAATTTCAACCCACAATATCTGTGAATTTAATAAATGGTTGTTTTACTTTACCAAGTTTTGGGGCAATTTATAATGTAGCCATAGTAACTGTAACATTGTCTCTCTGGAATCTGTTGTCCCATGCTGAAAATAGTTGCTTGCATATTTCATCCTGTGTTATTGTTGTAGAGAGTTATTCTCCAAGCCCGGACTTTAATCAGCAACTGTGTTCATTAAAATAATGTTCAATAATAATAACGTTAACAAGGCTGGTGCGGGTGCTCACACCTATATTAGGCTGGGTGCCGTGGCTCACACCTATAATCCCAGCACTTGGGAAGCTGAGGTGGGGGGATTTCCCCGAGTTCATAGGTTCAAGGCCAGCCTGAGCCAGAGTGAGACCTCGTCTCTAAAAATAGCAGGGCATTATGGCAGGTGCCCATAGTCCCAGCTACTTGGGAGGCTGAGGCAAGAGAATTGCTTAAACCCAGGAGTTTGAGGTTGCTGTGAGCTATAACGCCACACCACTTTACCGAGGACAACAAAGTGAGACTGTCTCAAAAAGAAGACAAAAACAAAAAACAACAACATCAAGAGCAACCTCCTTTTATAGACCACTGTCTATAAACTGGGCACTGTGTGAAGCATTTTACATATACAGTAGAACATCTGTAAGCTGACCACTCAAGGGACTGTAACAAACTAGTCAACACATGCTGGTGATCAACATAAGGAACTAGGCCTACTATACTGATACGTACACGTGGTGCATGGCTGTCTATGAAAATTAGGTTAATTTAAGGAGGTAGTTAACATAAGGAGGCAGTCAACTATGGAGGTTCTACTATACTATCTCAATGAAATCACACAAGAATCTTGTGAAATAGGCATTATTAATTCCTCATCCTACAGAGAAGAAAACAGAGGTTCATAGAGGTTAAATGATTTATCCATGGTTTGCATTCAGGTCTATCTGGCACTGGAACCCATGCAATTAATCATATCTAGAATTGAGGCCAGGAAAGGTGGCTCATACCTGTAATCCTAGCACTCTGGGAGGCCAAAGCAGGTGGATTGCTTGTGCTCCAGAGTTCAAGACGAGCCTGAGCAAGAGGGAGACCCCGTCACCGTTAAAAAAATAGCCAGGTATTGTGGCAGGCACCTGTAGTCCCAGCTACTTAGGAAGCTAAGGCAAGAGGATGGCTTGAGCCCAAGAGTTTGAGGTTGCTGTGAGCTATGATGCCACCGCACTCTACCAAGGGTGATAAAGTAAGACTGTCTTAAAAAAAACATATCTAGAACCACATATATTCACAGACACACACACATAACATATGCATAACATGCATAGACATACAGAGACACAGACCCATTCTTTACACATTTCCAGAATTTTTATACTTTTAAATTATTTTTTGTTCTCAGAGTTAAAAATTCCCTTTCCCAAATTTATGTTAAGTAGACTGAAAGAGATTCAATCTGCTAGATATTAAGTTTCCCAAGCATACCCCAAGATGAAATTCCCTCCATCTGGGGCCACCACAGGCATGGGCAACAAAGATACTGCCTCTGTTCCCTTGCCAAGGATTGCCTGCAACCCCAACTTTGGGGCTGGTGGAGTGGGACTGTTAACAAGACTTGGCTTGGTAGACAGCAGCCTTCTCCTGGGGCTGCGAGGACTCCATACTTGATGTTGTAAGAGTCTAAATTCAGAGAAACAAAGTGATTCCCTGACTATGCAAAAGCAGAGAGCTCAGAGCAAGAGATCATGCTTAGGAGGGGAGGGGCTGAAGGAGTCAGAGAGAAGATTCCTTTGTTGAAGTAAGGTCACTTCTAAACATTAAAGAGCAGGGATGGGAGCTGGCTGGTGGAGGGGGACAGCCATTCAGAGAGGGCCCTCCTCATTCTGCAGGTTCCCCCAATTCAGCTTGCCCCTTCTACAGAAGGGAAGAAGGGAGTTTTAGTTCAGACACGACGCTCTTAGAAGAGCAGGCGTCCCAGAGCAGAGCCTTGGACTCAGTAATTTATAAATCATTCACAACCCTTCTCTTTAAGATAGTGTAGACTCCTGTCCTATTCTTGAGAAAAGATAAGAGCACAAATAGAGGTGCTTCTCTGGGAAAGAAAGAAAGAATACTGTTGTGTCATTACGACCACCTCAATCTAGAATATAGACACCTCAAATCAATTCCCACCCCCACGTCACAAAAAGTAGCAAGTAGTTGAATCCAAAGTGAGAAAATGGAATGGGAAATCTTTAAGGTTCGAGTTCACCTCTATGCCCCCTTTTCTCAAATTCAGTCCTGAATCCCTATTTGAAAATCCTTAGAAAAACCTTTTGCGAGTATTCCACGCTTACTCATTTTATGAAGAAACTAATCTCAATAGTTTAAATGGCTTGCTCGCGCCAGCCAGTGGCAGCTGGCGGCCAAGAAGCCAGCGATCTGTCCCGCGTCTCAGCCAGTCAGCAGTACCCTCTCCACCACACCAAACTGGGGGCTCCCATCGGGTTGGGGGGCATCCGACAAATAACCAGCCTAGATGGTGAGGGGCTGTGGCTCCGTGCCAAATAGGTGTGGGGGTCCCCGCTCAGTTCTTGCCTTCTGTCCGTTCTTGTCGCTGTCCCCGACCCCTCTCCCTGCCCATCAATACGGGTCCGCGTGGGGGTGCCGTTCCAGCCCTGGCACTGGGAAGAATACTGCCCTGACTCTTTGTGTGCAAGTGTGAAGCGGTCGGAGGACAAGGGGAAGGTAGCGCAGAGTGTCCGCTCAGGGCGGATTGCCCAGCAGCCTGACTGTGAAGTCTGGCGGGTCCCAAGAAAGCGGACCGCTGTCCGTCCGGCGCACATCCAGTACCTCCGCCTCCTCGCGCTGCTCCCGGCCTACTTGCTCCGCGGGCTCGGCGTCCAGGCGGCGGCACAGCAGCAGCGGCAAGGCGCGCAGCAGGAGGACCACACGCGCGACCATCTCTCCGGCTTCCCTGCCGCCCGGCGTCCGCCCTGCCCAGACCCCGGGATGCGCAGGCTCTGCGCCGCCCGTGCGCGGACGGGAACGGTCCCAGGAGCTCGCTGGCGGCCCCGCTCCTCCGCGGCGCTTCTCCGGGAGCGAACCGGAGGTCGTCCAGCCTGGGCAGTGCCTGCCCGCGGGTCCGCCGGCCGGGAACCAAGGGAGGGAGGAAGGAAGGGCGGGAGGAGGGGGCGGGAGCCCGGCACTCGCGCCCCACCCACCCGGCTCTGCCGCTGGAACGCGCAGCGGTCCGGGAGCCTCTCCCGCGGGCTGTACAGCCTCGCCCTGCTCCCGCCGTCGCCCTGCGGACCCAGGTTCTCGCCCGCCACCTACGGTTGATCCGGAGCTGTCCAGGGAGGGCAGGTGAAGAAAAGTATCCTGGCAGTTGTGGCTTCCCGAGTCTTCGACGAAGATGGGTCCCGGCCTACCTGGAGGTCGCCAATTGCTTGGGTCCGGCGGTGAACGAGGTCCTGGAGTGTGAGAGAGGAAGCCCTGGGATGGGTACAGAAGAACCGAGTCTGAGTTCCAGATCTGCTTTTTTGGTAGCTAAGTGAATCCTGCCTCAGCGGCCCACTGGCTGTGTGTTCTTGGGACAGTCACGCATCCTCTCTGAACACACTTTTTTTTTTTTT